ATCGTGACAATTTGTATCGCTTTTTGGCATGGTTCTAATTTGTGTGAGTGAATTTGATTAACATTCTGAATATAATAATTGAACAGTCAAATTTTATATGAATAAATAATTAAAGAAACCTGGGTGCTTTCATAATTTCTTTTATTTATCTGCGACACCAGAATGTTAAGTCCATGACGTTTAAAGATAATTTATTATCAAATAATTCCATAATTTTGAAAAAATTTTCTACATTTTTAACATTCATTTCCGTGCAAAAACTATATTTTTTTGAAATAAATATTCAATATTTTCAATATTTTTTGAATTTTTTAGTTGTGCAATGTTTATTTGAGTTTGACAAATCATTATATTCGTGGATAATCATAGAAGATGAATGTTTCCAAATTTTCTCTTTATTTGAGACCTATTTTCATATATTTTTGTTCATCACAATTCTGCTTACTGATGTTGTTACATTTCGTTTATTGCTTCTGCGGAAAAAGGTTCTCTCAAATTTTGGAAATTGATAAATTTGTTTAATTTTGTTGCGCTATTTGATCGGAACGAATGTTCCCCTAAACAATTTTTCCGTTGATAATTTGTCAAATTTTTTCAGGAAAACAGAGAAAAACAACCAAGTAATTCCAGTGCAACAAATTTACGATCGGAGATAATTTTTTTCTCTCAAGTAAGAACATAAAAAATTTTGGCAAAAAAGAAGAAATGTGAACAGTATTTTAGTGAAAAATGATCATAAATCTAATAAATTTTATTCAAATTAGAAAATATTCGCATTTTTATTTTTTTTTTATTTTTAGCCAAACTATTAAGAAAGAAATTATGATGATTCTTATTAGTTTTTTTAGAACACTGTTCTTCCATTTTAATAGAATTTTTTCTAAATTATTATTCTTTGATGCAATTTCAGGCATGTCTTAGCGTTTTCATTTACATTATCATTTTCATGAATGGTTATATCGAAGAAGCAATTTTTCTTACTAAGTGGGGAGGATTTATAATATCCACTATCGTATGGATGCTAGGTCATGCAATAGACGGGTAAAATTTGTTAACCCTTATTAATATTGTAAATTGTTTTTACAGATGGTAAAAGCATAAAATGAATATCATCATTATTAAGATTGGAATTTTTTCGAGGTATTTATTTTCCTAAATTTTTTAGTGAAAGGAGTATTTATTATTTTCATTCCAACATCATTCATAATTATCGACCCAACTGGTTTCACTCTAACTTGTTTAAAATGGATTCGAATATCTTTCTAAATAACCATGTAGAATTATTAGTCTTCAATACTTCTCAGATTTCACTTTAAATTACAGATTTATACTCATTAAATTCGATAAAAAATGAATGGAACTGTGACTGCTTGAAGTCAGTAAAATACATTTTGCATGAATAAGTCTAAATTTAATAAATTTTTCGCTAAAATTTTTTCCAGATTAATAATCGGATTTGCACAATGGAATATTTTGCTACGCCGAAACAAAATAAAAACAATAAGCGTTCGACCAATTTGAATGCAAAGAATTGTCCAATAATATACGATTCCCATGGTATTTTTGCGCTAATAATATAAAAGTATAATATAGAAACTGAGGTCAAAATATGTGTTCTCATTGTTTGAGCAGCACATTTGAAAATGCCTTAATTAAAGTTCCCTATAGGGACAATTGATAAGGCATTGGAAGAATTTTTGCTGAGCCCCATCCAGTAAAATTCCTTCTCCAGATGATTCAAATTTCATTTAAGTGTTTGCACGCAATAAATCGAATTGAAATCGAATATTTCCATTAGTATGCACGAGCATAAAATATTTACAAAAAACTGATAAATATATACGATATGTAATTTATCATATCGTACATATCTTATCAAAAAATAGGATAATCATTCTTCTAACATTGCTGCTTGGCCGCTTCTGATTCGCACGGATCTCTTCTACCTTTCCCATATTTTATTTTGCGATTCCCTAAAATAAAATTCAAGAAAAAAAATTTAAATATTTTTCCTCATTAAAGAATTATTTCCTTTGTAAATCGACGATTAAAACGACGTTTTACCGGTCTTTTCCCTATCACGAATATTTCTGCTTGAAGTTCTCAAATTTAGCATCATTGAAATCGTTTGCTAGTTCCTGGCATTCGACCTTGAAAAGGTGCTTTTTTGATGGTCTCTCGTCGCCATAAAAAAGTAGAACGACAGTTCTAAAAATAATAAAGAGAAAATTACATTAGCTTTTCACAACGCTCAATAAACAAATTCTACAGGGCAAATAGTTTTTCAGTTGAAAAAAATGTGTTCCTTATCACATGTTTTTTTTCTTCATCCTGCTCGGTTGCCTTCGAATCAATTTCTTTTTGAATTTCTTTAAGCGACATTCAAAAAAATTCACCATTGCATGATTGCTTAACCATAAGTTTCTATTTCAGATGATTCAAATTTCATTTAAGTGTTTGCACGCAATAAATCGAATTGAAATCGAATATTTCCATTAGTATGCACGAGCATAAAATATTTGCAAAAAACTGATAAATATATACGATATGTAATTTATCATATCGTACATATCTTATCAAAAAATAGGATAATCATTCTTCTAACATTGCTACTTGGCCGCTTCTGATTCGCACGGATCTCTTCTACCTTTCCCATATTTTATTTTGCGATTCCCTAAAATAAAATTCAAGAAAAAAAAATATGACGAAGGCGACAGAAATAATCAATGAACGAATAATAAATTACAAATTAAGATTTTAATAAAAGGTTGAATTGTATAGGTCAATAATTAAGTTATGAAGCAATGAGCTGTTTTCTTTTTATTTCTTGGATGACTTGAACTTTTCGAAATTTTGTAGCTGTAGCTGTTTTGTAGCCCTGTATATTGTGCACAGCCGCTTTCTACTGCAATTTTTTTAACCTAGCAATCAGTGGGAATCAAAAATACTGACTTATACAGAAAAAAAATTATAGAACAAACAGTAAACAGTAAATTACAATACTACCCCATTTTTTAATATATGTCCCATACCCAAATATATGTGATTAGCGTTAAAGTTTTTATTATATTTTTTTTGCTTATTTTTGTTTTTTATCTTTACTTACAGTTTATTTATTATTTTACAATTATTACAATAATAAATTGCCTTCTGGAATGTTGGAAGGTGCAGCGAGGTCGGTCATTTCCATGCACTGCACTCCATGCGAAGCATGACGGGATTTGGAGAAATGGAGCAATGATAAATATAATATGGGGGAGTTCGGATTTAATGGGGATTTGTGGAATGTTTGAAGTACATTTCGTTATTTAGTACTCGACAGTTTCTGGCTAATTCTTCTATCCTAACGTAATGAAATATTATCGCGCGCTATCCAAATTATCTCCAACAAAAATGGAAGCCGTATGGGTAGCGACATACTTACCGCCACACCACATTGGAAGCGCGACATCTCACCGCATTTATCAAGTCAACCTTGGGATTAGCCAGAGAAATCCAAGTGCTGCAAGCTTTTCTCTGTATGCTAAGAATTTTTAGCGTTTCCTTTCGAATACGCGTCGAATTCAACTCATTTATCGTTTATGTATCGCTCACTGCCAATTTAAAACACTACACCGATTTATCGAATTAACCTGTCGAATCTTGGACTTGGTTCGCACTAAACAGGTTCTGAGAATGTGCTATATATTTTCTTTTCTTCTTTTTTTCTTTTTTTGCTTGGAGATCCTAGTGCTGTATGCTTTTTCTTCCTTCTTAAAATTTACTTATTGAATACACGCTTTGCATTTGTCTGGATTATTGACTGAAGACTGTTTTATGGCTATAAATTCTTGAAATTAAATTAATTTATTAATAAATTAATAAATTCTTGATTTTAAAAATAACACGGTTGTTTTTATTTCAATAATCTGATGATAATATATGTATTAATAAATGATATACAAAACATTGCCAAATTTGAAAAAACGACGAGCATTGACTATAAAACTACTGTTGAACTTTCCATCAAAATTTTATATCATCAGCTAAAAACCCGTAAATTGAGGCACCATTTGAGCAGCTTTTAACAACGATAAACCCGTAATTCAATATATGTACATCATAGAAACTTTCCATCTGCAAGGCTAACAGAAATTTAGCGAAATTTCTAATAAATTAAGGAAAAAAATTAAAATTCAACTGCTTCTATGCGTCCATGTACTGAAGAAATTTCAAATAATGTTAAGTTAAAAAATAATATTCTATATAAGTTAAAATAGATATGTTCTTATGAAATAAGTACCAGTTCATTTTCCAGTTTTATATAATGCTAATCCCGTTCTTTCAACAGCGATTTTCTACAAATATATTTAATTAAAATTCATTAAGAAAATAAAAAATAAATTTAGGAATGGTAAAATGAAAGTTTAAGAAAATGGCTTTACAATAGTATCGAATAAAAAATGGCAAAAATTTTTCTCTTCTTTTATACAGTTTTTTTTTATAATTGAAAATAACTAACCTGAAAAATTTCTCCTTGCTGCATATGAATTTTATATTTCTTATTATTATTTTTCTTATTATATTTCTTATTAAGCGAGTAGAAGCGAATATAAAAATAATATAATTGCGATAAAGTGAGAAAATTGAGCAAATAGTCATTTAAGTATATTATTATATTATTTGTCTAAAAATAAATTTTTTTATTAAAAAAATTGGGCATAAAGAAATGGGTCTAAAATTATTAAAATTAAAATATTATGACTATTCATTTTATTTTTAATTTTCTAGGAATCCTCACCATTATTGATTAACTCGCCCGCTGGCTTGTCGCACTAGACAAATATGCCAGGAAATCCCATGGCGATAGAAGTACATTAGTAGCATAACCTGGATTTTTGGACTGGTTTACTTTTGCTAGAAATAGGACCCCACCCCAGCATCGACGTTCCCAAATGAGCAATAATGAGCCATTCTACCTCCATTTTATTCATTTTATTTAAAAAAAAAACATGAAAAAATCAAAGCATATGAAATTTCATGTGAAATATGAGAAGATAAAAAATTTTACCACTGTTTGATATAACTGACGAATAAAGATTAGTCACAGAACTACTTTCTGCTGTCAGATCGACTGGCTGTATATCCGAAACGATATTACTAACTGGTCTCGATAGATTAAGGGAAGGAATTCTCTTTAAGGAAACGGGTGCACTTCTCATTCGTGCACCTTTTGAGGGAATAATTGGTGATTGAACAGGACTGGCGGTTATCTGCGTTAAAGCAGATCCTAGAATAACGTTTTGTTGCTTCATACGTGAATTCTGCACCAGTGATAACATTTTTTGAACAGCTTGTGGCGATTCAACTCCTGTAATAAACTTCCAAAAAATAATTTTTATCAAGTGGTATGATATAGATTGATATAAGATTTTAAGATGTCACAAATATCTTTTTAAATGATAAAATGAATTAATTATCCCAGAATCATTGTACTATTGATTATTTCTTGAATGAAAAATGTAAACTTGAAAAGAAATAGCTGTGAAAAGCCAACCAAATTTTGGTGCAGCAAATTTACGCTGATCCGAAGTACTTGATACACTGGAAAGACTAGAAGGAGATGGAGATGGAACTCGACGTCGGTTTATATTTGAACTGTTATTTCCTGCTTCACATTCAAGTGATAAACGATCCAGTTCTGTTTCGCAGTCTATTACGCCGATATTAGATAAGTAAGATTTCACTTTACGAACCATTAAAGCCTGTTCATACATTTTTTTGCGAGGTTGCATACTTCCTTTAACTGAAAAAAATTTGGAGATAAATTATGAATATTTCTCATTACTCGCTAGCATGGGAAAAAACTCCATATTCTATCCTATTAATTGGTTAAAAATAAAAAGACGGCAAATAATAAATAGTAGATCAAAATTACTAACCTGTACTGGAACTAATTTTCCGCATCGTTGCCACTTTAATATTGCCGTTGTCAAAGCTATTCATATGAAGAAGCGCGTCACTAACATTACCACCACTCTTTAAATTTCGAATAACAAATTTCAAAAAAATGGAAATTATAAAATAATTATAAAATTTTTAATAAGATATTATTTGATGCAAATCAATCATTTGAATACCTGCCGAGCCATTGCACCAATTTCATATGGAGCGCTGCAAAGTTTTGTAACGCAACGAACAGCTTTAGCAATCATACGAAGTTTTTCAAAATTGACCAGCTTTTCGCAATAAGTAGGGTTTCCCTCATGAGAAAATGTCAAATCCTTTTTGAGCACTGGATATATAGGAATAATAGGAGGTTCTTGGGAAACCAGTGAAATAAGTTGTCGATATTTCGACATATTTCTCGACGGATCCACTAAATGTTGAATATCTTCGAATGTTTTCACATATTTTCTAAAAATATATTCATTAATAAAAGAATAAATAAAAATATAAAATAAAAGGAATAATAAACATAAAACGAAAGGACCTTTCAATTAGTTTTCAGAGAATGAGAAATTACAACAGAATTTCTACACTGCGTACTATGAAAAAATTAAGAAAAAAATATAAAATTTTCGAATATAAAATTTCCATGAAATTTCCATGAACTTACGTTGGAACCCGTTCCCACGTGAGATGAAGTCGACGTACGGGAGGTTTGCTGAGACCGCTCATAATTGCAAACATCGAATTGAAATTTCGAAAATCTCGGCAATATCGAGCCACTTTTATAAATTTTTTCACAAGCTTAGCTCGTCTTTGTAAATTTCGTTCACGACAAATTTCTGTTGCAACCCACCACATTTCCTAAAATTTCGATAAATAAAATGAAAAAACAATTTAGTATAATATTAATAGTATCATTACCTTATTAAAAAGTTGTTCAAATTCTGTTAATTTCGGCCAACCATAACGAGTTTCGAGATTGAATAGATTATCGACATATTCAGTTGGCTCTATAGATGAAAACACAGCAAAATCCTCAAAAAATTAATTGTTAAATATATATATCAAAGACAAAGACAACAAAATTAGCACAAAGATTAAAAACAAAAATTAAAACGCAGAGATTTGAAAGCGAAACCTGCAAAGTGAGTTGAGCTGCAAGAATCTGCGCATTTAATTGAAGTAGTTGAACTTCTGCTTCCTTCAAAATTTCAGGAGCTAATTCATCTGGTACAAGCGGGTCAGACCTAAAATAAAATGAATAACGCTTGCGCTCATATAATAAATATTGAGTAGATTAAACAATATGAATTATTAGATAATAATACTCGCCTTGAATTATTTTTCAGATAATAACGACTATTAAGTTGAATTCGTTCCGCTAAATTCGAAAGTTGATCGGGCAAACGGCGTTGTTTAATTACACCTCCTGATGTCACAGTTGTTTCACATAAAGACCATTCCAAACTTCCAGCATCAGAATTCATGCCAAATTCCTATACAAATATATTATTTTTCAATTCAATCTTTTAGAATTTTTTTGATAATTTGTGAAATGCCTAAAAACCTGAATTAAAATATATAATATTTACAATCGAAAAATATTTATAGAAACAACATTATCAGCGAATCTGCGAAAAATTATTCAGCAATAAATAAAAAGAGAAAAAAAGGAGTTATAAAAAATTATGATTTAATTCGTAGTTTAGACAATTTTTACATGAATAAAAATTCACATATAATAAAAATTAAAATTAAATTAAAATTAAAACTGCCATTAAAAATACCAGTCCCATGAAATCTTCATCAAACCTATTGTACTACTGCAGAGACCTTCCACAACCCTCTTTCAAAAGCTTTCTTTCCCTGCTACCTTTTTTGATTTCAATTTAAGACTTTGAAAACAACAAAAGTACAGATTCAAGGAAAGTGAAGTTGGATGGTATGAAGAAGAAAAGGATTTAAAATGGTTACTGGTGAAGTAGGATAAATGAATATAAGACAACGAAAAAGCTTAGAATATTACGAGAATTTAATAAATTTTGAAAGGAATACCAAAGAATTTGATTTTAGTGGAAGATTTCACAAGCATTTGATGGATTTTAGGGACCATTAAGTAGGCTTAGATGAGTTACAACAGAAAGAAATCTGGCAATATACTAGAAGAGCACTTAAATAAAAATCTATTCAATCTAAATAAAATAAATATTTAGTAATATACGATGAATTAAACATTAACGAATGAAACGAGTCGACTGGAATCATCGGTAAAATTTATTAAATGGGAAGAATTCGTAAATAATGGATAAATAAAAAAAAGGAAAGGGAATTTTTAAAACAGTGATATAGAATTAATATTTTGATATAAACCGATATTTTCTTTTGATTTGTCCTTTCAGAAATTCTTATAATTTTTTTTTGATTTGCTTTTTGTATTTTTATTCGTTTTTTATTTTTCTTCAACATCATATCAGCATATAGCTTTTCCCTCTGCTTGCTTCAGAATTGAAGTATTTCTAATAAATAAAAATAAATAAAACATAAAAATGGAATAAAATGACATAAGGGGAATTCAACTGGTTTAAACAAAGGGATACGACGCTATTTTGCAGTCGAAGTGGATTTATGATATCAAAAGGGTATAAAGAATCACAAGTTTTGATAAAACTTGAATTTGAACTTCAGACAAAAATAAGAGCTATTAACTGGATAAGCCAAAAAAAGTGAGCATTTTTAACAGAATATTAAGACATGGATTTTCTGATGAGTTGAAGAGAAATTACTAGAAATATTAAAGAGAAATTATAGAATCTCTAAGATGGGGTTAAAGTTTCAAGAAGATGAATAGCAACAGAAAAACTGACAACTAAAAAAAGACTCATGACTGATGTTCAAGAGATATAACGGCAATTTAGAAAGAAGGAGAGAATTGAAGATATTTTTTGTAAAAATTGAGCAATTTTTTGAATAGATAGATGATTTCTCTTTCAAAAATACCTCACATTTATAATAAATTATTTTGAGAAAATAATACCTGAAGAGCAAGTTGAACAACGTTTTGTGCAGTGGTTTCTTTATAAACAGTTAAATATTTAAACGACTGATCTGCTCGATAAATTTTCAAAACATGTTCAGGGCAAGTACTATGCATTGGTTGATAATAGTGCGCAATGCCCGTATCAATCATATTTCCCGATACAATAGAATGATTTGCTATATCTGGATTCGATCGACTTGTACGCAATGCGTTCATTCGAACAGATTCCACCTCCAATGTGATTTATTAAAATTAAATAATAATTTCCAACATATTAATACCAAACCAAATCCATTCTTTAAAATAATCAACAACATATTAACTGAAAAAAAAAAAATACATTTCGATCGTCATCCAAAAGATTATCAATTGAGTTGTTGTTTGGTAGAGATTTAAGCATTGTCACTATTTTATCCATTACTGAACTTTTTGTCATTATGCCAGCAATAATATTACGACTACGTGATGAATGAGATGAAGAATTGTGACGCGAATCATCTTCATGAATAATACCTACCATATTTGCCATTGAAGCATGATTACTCTACAAAATAAACAAAAATTTAGAAAATTTGCTTCCTGAAAAAAGTTATAGATGGACGATTAACAATCCATTCTTAGTCCTATGATATAACTCATATATGTTTATAAAAAAATGAAAAAATGGACATTATCATATTTATTCTAGAATTATCGAATTCTGAAAAATATAATAGCGATAGATAAAAAAAAATATTTCAAATTATTTCACCTGAAATAATTTATTTTTTGTTATTCGGCCAGCAATAAGTACAGATTTTGTATCACTAGCATCAATAACATCAATAGCACGTTCTGATAAAGTGATAATCTCCTTGAAACCTAATGAATTTGATTTAACAACTAGCGAAATATGTGTGTTTGAATGCAAAATTTCTAACGCACGCGATAAATTTATTCCTTTGAAAGTCTGACCATTCACTTCTATTATCTAAAACTATATTAATTACGCATAACTATATATATATATATATATATATATTACATGAATTACTGGAATAATTTCTTCAGGACAAAACAAAAATAAAAAGGAAAATTTCCAAGATTTTTCTGTTTCATTCAAACTATTCAAGCTATGCAATTCATTGTTATTAACCAAATGATGATTAAAAAAAGTAAAAAATAATCGACTAATTATGCTATAAACGATTTATAGGCGATTGAGGATAAATGCGTCATGAATTACTTAAAATCAAATAGACATCCCAGAAAATATCTAATTTTAATCTATGATATCTATTTGTATAAATGCATGATTAAATGAAAAAAATATGAAAATATTTGAAAGAACCTGATCTCCACGCTTTAAACCAATTTTATCCGCATAACTGCTTTCTTGAACATTAGATATAAATATACCAGAGGATCCATTTTCTTTACCGCCAATAATCGAAAATGTAAGCGGTTGGTCTCTATTCGATCTTGTATAAGTCAACGTTCGCGCTCTTGACTTAACACTACATGCAATATTTAATAAAGACTGAAATAAAAATAAATTAATAAACAAAAGAAAGCGGATATTTTTGACTAATTTTTTAATATTGTAATATTTTTAATAATGATCAAAATAATTCCATTCCATTCACATTCAACAACAATTACAATTAAAACCTATAAAAATCAAAGCATAAAATCTTAATAGCGATAAACTTTCACTTCATTATTATTGCAGACAAATTGATTTAAAAAACTAAATGGCATGATCCACGATTTCCAGTCAAATTCATTGGTTATTAATGTGGTTAGAAATTTTTGCCAAGCAAAAATTTGGTGATAAAAATTCAAGTATTAAAAGTATTAAGATAAGGAATTAGAAAAATTTTTATTAAAATATTAACAGCTCTTTTCCCCTTAAAAATGGTTTATAAAATTTAAATTATAAGAATTACCTGTTGACTAAACATCTGATCTCTTTCAAGAGCTTGTTCGAATCTATCAAGAAGCTCAAGCATCTCAGAATTACATTCAAAATCATTGTAATGGTTGTTGACCCAAAGAAGTACTATTCGCGCCACCTGCAATAAAAATTTATTTTAATTTATTTTATATCTAAAAAAATTGCAAAGAAAAATATACTATATTTATTATATATTAAGTATATTTATATTATATATTATTCGATCATTCAAGAAATTCTCGTGTATCTATAAAATAAACAACGAATGGTTCGCGGAATTCAGATGTCTGGAGATATCGATCTCGAAAATACATCCTTAAAACATCCTGATCCTAATTTCATGGTCACTTGGAAGAAATATTGAGGGCTAATTGCTGAAGATTTGTAGATTTAGCGTAAAACTTTGCCGTTTCTTTCACATGCCACCTAAGATATTTGCAGAGATGAGAGGAAAAAAATATTTGACAAATAAGTACTTCTCTTAACATATGGCAGAAGTCTAAATTTATTCGAGGATTATAGTTGTTTAGATGTTTAATGTCAAAGATCTAAAGATCCATAACAGTTTCATAAACGGTAATGCAGTAATTACAATGAAATCGTAAGTAGTGTACCTAGAAATATAACAACCAGAAGTTAACAAGGAAAATTCCATCGCTCTGCAATGACAACTACACATCGCAGGAATGATTTTAGAAAAATTTGCCCAATCGTATTTTCTTCCACATTTATTAAATTTCCCAGATCCCTTCATAACAAATTTTCATGTTTTTTCTTCTCTATAACCACAAAGTCAAATTATGTAGAAAATAAAATGTTCTTGAACACCCCTTCTAGCAGTTCAGCGGTTCCAGAAGATATCGGATTTTTATGCAAAATGGAATAAACGCGCTTGTGTCATACTGGAAAAAGTTTAACGCTTTTTTTAAATGAAATAATATGAAATATTTTCAACAAAATTATAGTTTCTCAAAGTGAATGACATAAAGCCGTGGGAACTTTCTCGAATGACCCAATTTATATTAATTATATAGAAATTTCATAATCATTCATGAAATATTGTAGTTAATGGAAGGCGAGAAACAAAACTCGTTGACTATTGGAGAAAAATTACAAGTATGAAATAAAGAATAAAATATATAAAATAATTTTTCTTCGCAATACAACAAACTACAAACTTTGTCTCGAAGAATTATTTCAGCAAACCAATGCATTAATTTTTCGAAGATCATTGTTGGATCGGTGATAAAAACACGATACATTAGCAAAAAATCTTCGACATAATACGCATCCATCACTGAATCTCGTTCTTCTATCAAATGTTCTATCAGTTTATCCTTATTTGCTTTAATTAAGATTTGCCCAATTTGAGTGCCAAATGCTCTTAAATAATAATAAATAATTTAAAATTCTGAAAGATAATTCTGAAATTCTGAAAAAAAGTAAGAAATCGCTTTACCTAGAATAATCAATCTGACATAATAAATCACTTTCACCTACAATATTTAACCCGACAATAGGCTGAATCTTGTCACCACTTATTGGCATCACTTAAGAGATGCATTCCAGAGTACATAGGAAAAGAATTCCTTTCTGTTGATAGTTATGAAAAAATACAGGAGATACCAGCTAATGAATGGGATGGAATGACTGCAGCAAGGGATTTAAGAAGAAAAGGACCAGATGTTAATAAAATATTTATTTTTATCAGTTCATCAATAGATGGGAAATGTTAAGACTTTAAACAACTTGGATCAACTTTGGAAACCAAATGGCCAAGTGAAAATCACCACCAAAGAGAACTTTCGAATCTATCTATCTACGATACTCACCATCGTGTTAATAGAGGTAAAATATGATAAATGAGATATTAAGAAACCATCTATCTATCTAAATCATTCACGTTTAAGGCACACTTAGCCGTCGAGCTGAAAGACTCTTAAATGATTGCATAAATCTTCAAATATCAATTGCATTAATATTACAGAACGTCGACTAAGCTGGTTAGGCCATATTCACCACCACCCAATGCAGGAGTTAATGCATATCTCGCTACTTGCTAAACTCTGTAGAAAATCCCAAAAGTAAGGGAATCAATCAAGTCTTCAATTAATATGGTCAAGGAAAATTTTGAAAGATGGTAGAAAAGGCTTCTCTCTTCTACTCTCAAAGATGATATTGGTTTGTATCAGAATAAACTTTTAACTATCGCAACTTTCATAAATTTTCACAAACCTCCGTTCAGTTTCTGAAACAATTTCCCCGGTGAGTAGATCGGACTGTCGTTCAATATGTTCCCCGATTGTACTCATTATTGAACAATAATCATGGTGCTCGACAAGCACAAATTCGCAATCATCAACTAATGTCCGCATTTCTCCAACATGATACTAAAAAAATTAAGGACAATAATTAATCATCAAGAACCACGATGTAAATGATAAAAATTTATTGAACTACAATTTTATAAAATGAATATTCAGAATGCATGAGTATATTTATGAGTATGACCATTCTGTAAGTAAGAGTAACCTGAGGAGTGAAAATAGGTTTTGCACCAAATGAATCGCCAAGTTTATATTCATACCGTTCACCAGTTGGATAAATCACTTCGACTTGCCCATTGACAATTACAGACCATGCATCTAACCTTTCATTATGATGCATTACAACAGTTCCTGCTTCAGCAACAACAGCAAACACCATTTTAAGACACAACTGTTTCTTGATACTTAGTGGTAATGAAGCTAATGCCGACATATGTTGCATGAAATCCTTGAATTTAAAGATATTGGCAATAAATTAAAATATAGATCAACATTAAAAGAATATAAATGAACTGTACAATTAAAGGCTATGGAGATTTGAAATATATGAGAAAATCTATCAAATAAATTTTTGTTAGTAAAAATTTGAAGAAAAGCAAAAATAAAAGTCGACAAAAAAAGGAAAAAATTTACAAGTAATATGCAAAGGTCATCCGAATTTCTTTCTGATGGTTCTTTTTCAAGGCATTCTCGAACGCTATCTTTCAATTCGTGATAACTGTCATGAGATGGACAAGATTCGTCATCTTCTTCTTCGCTATCTACTGCTGTTTCTGGCAATCCTAATACGATGTGCTCGTTATGATATTTTGTAATATGAATAAAAATTTCAAATAAATTAATAGCTACCATGTAAATCGTCATCGTTGGTACTCGATGAAGCAGTGCTCGAAAGTCGACCCCTCGAAATGTTTGATCCGCCAAGTGAATTTGATTTATATGTCCTATGTTTGACAGTTAAAATTGGCTCATCTGTAGTGCTTAATCCATTTAAATAAATCTAAAAATAGAAGCAAAACCATAATGAATATATAATAATGATAAAATGATAATAATGATAAAACCATAATGAATAAATAATAATGATATTAAAATATAGATTTTTATAAATATAAATAAATAAAAAAAATAAAATATAAATACTTTTTCTGAAAAGTGAATAAAAATTTCAAATAAAATATTTTTATGCAAAAAATCCAAAAAATTCAAAGATAACCTGGCTTTTATATCCGCGATCAGCGTCACTATCATGCATTTCGTGCATTATAGAATTATTATTCGAACGATTTATGAAAACCGTTAAGGATGATGACGGTAATACCGAAGTATGAGGCATTCTGGAGGTATTATTTTTACGCATTCTTTGAGGAGGTAAAGGTGCTGGTGGTAAATCTGAGCTATGATTATTATTATTATTATTACTATTATAGAGGAGAGCGGATTCAACAGAAGATGTCGATGATTGAACGGGATTAAGATTCAATGAATGCACAGCTTTTCTCGATGAAACCGTATCGTCGTTATTTCTTAGCGTAGAATTATTTTGCTCTTGATTCACCAAAATATGCTTCACATCGGGATAATCTATCTAAATTTCAACGAAAAAATTTCTTTCCTGAATAATAAAAATTTTTAATGAATTATAAAAATGAAATAATACTTACGACGATCATTTCAGATTGTTGAAGTAAAACGCAATCACTTATACGACGATAATTTAAACCGTTTCGCTTACCAAAACTTAAAATATAAAATACATATGAAATATATCAAAATATTATATAAAATATAGTAAAATTATCAAAAAAAAAAATGCAAATCTAATTAAATATATATATGAAATATATAAAAATATATTTAATATATAAAATAAATTATCAAAAAAAAGGCAAATCTAATTAAATATCACTGAAAAATAAAATTTTAAGAATTTAACTTTATTATATAATAAAATCATTACAAGAAGAGAAATCGGTTTTAGTGTAATATTATCAGTATTATCAATAGAAAACAGGAAAATCAACTTTTCATAAGAAAAATAGATTATAATCAAATTTCTACTAAATTTATTAAATTTAATATAATATATTTAGTAGAATTATATAAATTTAATAATTTAATATATTTAGTAGAAATTTGATCATTATTATCCATTTGATTATTTTTAAAATTTACTAATATAATATAATAAATATATTAAATTTTAATATATTTTAAATTTATCAACTAATTTTATTAACTAATTTGCTCAAAAATTTATTTTTAAAATAATTTTTATTCCATGAATAATTTTTTCTTTCATCAAATATATTTAATCGTTTTGTTTTTTCAACGCTTAAATTTTCTATCTTCTTTATAAGCCATTTTCAAATTTCAAAATCTATTTCAATCTTCATGAATTTTTTTTTTTCGTCTTCTATATATGTATATATAAACATATATTATTATAAAATGGAGAAATATAAGAGAAGATTTAAAACAAGTTGTAAAACACGATTTTCCTTTCCCCCTCCCCCACCCCGCCTCGCCTCTTTCTCTCTCTCCTAAGACTATTTAAATTAGATCACATAATTATTTTAAGATTTAATAAATCCAGTTTCTTATCAAACAACAATAGATTTCGACCGATTATAAATTTATTTATTAATCAATTTGAATTTAAATCTAAAAAAAAAAAAATCATTTGTAAAAAAAGAGATCATTGAACAAATTTGAAACCAGTTAAATTCTCATAAATATCTTTAAAAAAGAAATAAATTTAATTCATAAAACATAAAACATAAAAGAATGAAAAGGGAAATGGAAGGGGAGAAGAGAAGAGAAGAGGAGACGTGGAGATGTGGGGAGGGGGAGGGGGGGGGGGGGGGTAGGGGAATAAATTAATAAAACAAATCTAAAATATTTCTAATTTCATCCAATTTGATCAATCATATTACAATAGCGTTATTCGTTTTAATACATTAATTCGCTCTCAATTTTTTTTTTTCGCCCGATAATACAAATCGTATAAACCATACATTCATAATGTTTAGAGAAAAATTTTTGAACTAAAAAGCACCAAGCAAGCAATCGTGAATTATAAAACAACTGAATTAGGAAGTAGAATGCCTAAACGCGTTGTTGCTATTAGTTATTACGGAGCGCCAACAATCGCAGAAACAGAACCATCCTTCGAAAATCCCACTGAGCTACTAACTTATCGCCAAATGACTCACTGACTGGAATAAAATTTGCTTGATAAGCCAGCGCAGCCAACACATAATGGTACTATAAAAAAAAGAAAAAACTGAATTATAAATAATTATGAATAAAATAGCAAATTCCATCAAATTTTTCGCACATTTTTTATTATTTTAGAAATAAAATTCGAAATTAAAATTCGAAAAATTAAAACTCGTTAAGAAATTTGATGAACGCCTATTAAAAAAGATATATATATATGTATATCTTCTTCGAGAAAATACTTAGAATTGTCGCTTTTATAACCAATAAAGCAATTTTATCACCAAATAAATTCTCATTTTCGATTTTATCACCAAAAACTAACAAAAATACGAAAAAAAAAACTAATATCAATTCAATTTTATTCTGATTTAATAAAAAATAACTTTTTTATAAAATTTGAAAAATTCTTGAATTAAAACAACAAAGCAAAAAGAGTTGAAATAACTTGTTGGTTATTGGTTGGACGATTCGGACGATCGGTCGTTTCCACAATAAATAAATAAAACGATTAATTGAATAAAAATAATAAAACGAAATGAAATGTTCTAAATTCTTCTAATTCTTTTCGATAAAACATTTCGATACAAATATTTTATCAAATAAGAGAAATGAATTTCTTTTTTGTTAAAAAACTTGAAAAAATAGAATAAAAGAGGATTTAGTAGTTAATGATTAGAAAAGATTAATATCACTTGAAATTGCTTTTTTTTTTAAAAAAAATTCAGTAAAAAAATCACTGAAATGAACCTCAATTTCTCTTCTTTTCTTTAAAAATCTCTTATCAATAACATCTTATCACAAATTTTACTTTTATTATCTCATAAATTTAAATTTAAAAATAATAAGCGAGAAGAATATGCGAATGGTTGTTACTTAGATTATCTTCTTCAATGAAAAGAGTTCCAATATTGTTTGCGACAAGGATAAAACTGTTATTTAAAAAATCTGGGATTAATCTTCCATCCTTCTATCACCAAGTGATTCTCTGTTTAAAATTTCTTACCACGATAACAACCAGTGGAACAAACATGACCAAAAATTATGGCTATTAACCACCTTATAACCAAGCAAGGAAAATAATGTAAAGTACTCGTGTATTTATTTTCGAAAAATTAAAAAGAAATTAGAAAACAAATAATAATAAATAGCTAAAATAGTAAAAAAATAATTAAAATAATTTGATTAAAGTAATTTTTAAAAGAATTTCGAGTAATAAATAATATTCGAGTAATAATTTTTTTTAAAATTTTTGTGATTAAAATATAACGTGGCAAACCATTTTAAAAAATTTCCTGGACTAGATAAACATATGAATTTTCATAATTTATTTTAATTTTTAGATAATATTCACATTTTTAATTTGCGATTTCTCTTAAAATATTTACGAGAAATGAACGAGAAATTTTTTCAATATGACTGGTTTCAATAATTAGTATATAATAATATTAATATGAATTTAAAATTTAAAAATTTAAAAATATGAGTTTAATAACAATTTTAATCCAATAATTGCCTATATTTTATAAAATATTAATGTTTTGAAAAATTTTACTCGAAAAAAAAAAACTCGTAAATTTCATAGAAAATTCATTGAATTTTATGAAAGATTGATGATGCACATATCTAGGAGAATTTATGCTAAATTCTTATAGAGGATAAACACCATCGATGAAAAATTCGATGAAAAAATACTTCAAGAAAGAAAAATACCATAAAAAGCGATAGATCAATCGAGAAGGAATTCCCCAATGTATTATTCAATAAAATAACACTAACCATTCATATGGAAGATATATTTGACTATCGATAAAGACCGATCCAGATAATAAAATATACCAACAAGTCGCTACCTGCCCTCGTCTAAAATAATTCAACTAATTTAGCTTAGAAGATAATTTAATATCAATTTCAAAATTTAAATAAATCAATTAAGTATAATAAATGATAATAAAGTTAATAATAATAATAATAATAATCAAATAATAAAGCATAAAAATCGAATCGACAAAAGAATTCAAAGAAATTTTCGTTAAGAAAATTCAAATAAAAAATTTTCTTCCTATCTAAATAGAATAAATAAAAATTGCAAAAATAAATTTGATAATTTAAATTTGATAAAGAAAAACAAACCTGAATAAAATGAAATTTGATGGAAATTGTTCATAGCGAGCTGTACGACATATTGCTTTTAGTGGATCATCGTTCAAATTATGAAATATATCTAATCGACGTAAATTACAATAAATCGTTCGTAGATCCTGTAAATTAAAAATTTATTAATTTCATCAAAAAACACCTTTAATATAATTCAAATTTTTGTCATTTTAGATTAGAATTTATCACTTCAAAAAATTAACGAACAAATTGCCTTTTGTCTTTTTTCTTTAAATTAAATTGAAACTAATTGATTTTCTAAAAAAAAAAAGAAATGTAAAATGATTTCTTAAAATAAAATCAAAAAAAAAAAAAAAGATTTCAATGAAGAGACAATTCATCAATAAAAATTGACCATAAAAAATTTTAAAATATAGTACGAATGAAATAATTTTTTCATTTTTTTAATGAATTTATCTAATTGGCAATAAAATCTTAAAATTTTAAAAATTTTAAAAATTATAAAAAGAAGTTGCAAAAAAAATTAGGAAAATAATAGGCCATTAGCTTTCTACTTATAGCGCTCATCATTTCTAATTTCTGTCGATTGATTAATTTGAAATGATAAAATCAGAATCGCTAAAGAACAAAAACCACTAGTGGCTTAGCGCTAACCGCAAGATTTATTAATTCAAACGAATAATCTAAGAAATGAAAAAAAAAAAAAATTGAAATTGAAAAATTGAAAAAATAACAAATGCTAAACGAATGAAATATTTTTAATTGAATTTTTTATTTATAGAGCAATTTAATGGTGAAGAAATGGTAAAAAAGTGGTAGAAATATGGAGATTCGCGAATGATATGAGGATTTTTGATTAAAAAGAAATCACTCAGATAGGTGAAAAACGAGAAAATGAAGGTAGAATAAAGAAAATAGAGGAAAAATAGAAACAGAGCGTAGAAAAAAAAAGAGAGTAATAGCTGGCGCTGTCCACATAACCGAAAAGTATCATAAAAAATATATAAAGAAATAGAAAATCTCAACAAATATTAAAAAATTAAAAAATTTCAGTATAAAAAAAAAGCAAAAATTAATTAATAATACTAATATGCAAATATGAATAATTCGAATGATAATTGCGGCCTTCTGACCTTTACGCCTCTCCCCTCCCCCCCCCCCCCCCCCCCCCCCCCTTACAGCAAATCGTGACCTTCCAAATAGAATCCCCCTTAAGTCTTTTCTATTTATTAGAATACAATTAACAAACCTGATTTGTTCTCGACGATGGCGTTTTTGAAATCGCTTCAAAAAATGAACGATTATAATTATCCATTTGAATACCCCTTAATTATTCTATGTAATTTCGATTAAAATTAATTAAATGCGAAAAAAAAAAGGCGAGACGTTTGTACTTTTGTAATCAGTCCACAGTGGGCGTGGCTATTTTAAAATTTTAGTAAACTTATGTTTAATGAAAGAAAAACAATGATAAAAAAAGCAGGTTAAATTTAATAAAAAACAAACTAAAATCGTCGAACGCGCGTCAACAAACAACGCGTGCGTTCCATTCAGTGAATAATTTCAATGAGATAACTCCGCCCCTCTTTTAATTTCTTTTTCGTCTGATTTTCCTTCGTTGACCTGTTTAGGTACCATTTGAGTAGGTTGGATATCATTTGATTTTTTTCCTCAGATTTCTCAGATTCTTCTCATTTGGCTTCTGGCTCTGATTCCCGCAAAAATTTTCCTCCTATATACATAAATCTGACATATTTAGATTATGACGATTTGTTTTGGTGGTTCAGTTGTTTTTATATTTCTTTTGGTACCATTTGACCTGTGTGAGTTTATATCAACAAGTACCATTCAGTCGTTCAATACTTTGGTAATTAGCTGAGAAATATTTTGGAAATCATAAACTTGGATTGTTTCAGCTGTGTGCAACTTATGATAACTTCGAATGTCCTTTATAAAAACAATAGCATTAAAGTAAAAAAGCTTAGGCTTAGGTTTAGGCCTAAGGCTCAACCTAAAAACGAATTATGGTCTAATAGTCTTTCACACTACTATGCGGTCTTTTATTAATTCTTCCTTCCGTGGTACTCGTCAATTGTTTTTTACGAAATTGTCGAATTTTTCCTCATTGAAAACATTTCGAAAATTTGCAACATTTTCTTAATTAAAATTTGCGAAAAATTTTTTTTATTTATTTCCAACTCATCAATGCGTATAATAATTTGTCGATCGATAGGTTAAGGGTCAAGGACTTTCATTCTTTATAATTTGTAATGGCTGTCAAATCAAATATTGCATGTTTAATTATAATATATAATAAAAATATTAATATAATTATTTATTGATAGAATTTTAATTTATAAAATCAATTGATAAAGTAATAAATAATAAAGGAAAATCAATTTATAAACAAGTTGTTAGAGTTATTTAAAATCCATTGCGAAAATGAGATTTAAAATGAGAGAAGTTAAATCGAGTTCGATTGATAATAATGGAAATTTTAATCAACTGATAATCGATTAAGTGATTACGACGGAATCAAATGTTAAGTGTGAAATTTTTAATTTTGAAATGCCAATTTTATTTCACCGTTGAAATTTATAAAAATTTATTGAAATTATTTAAAAAATAATTTTCAAAAAATTTTTAGAAATTTTAATGAAACATTCTACAGCAAAATATATATTTTATATTTTATAATATACAAAATATAAAATATAAAATATTTTAATAAATAATAGATAAATAATAAATTAATAAATAAAATATAAAATATTTTATTTTTATTGCAATCTTTTAATATTATACATTACATTATTTCTCGCTGCATTAGTACTTGCTGCACTGGTACCTGCTGCATTGGTACTTGCTGTATTGGTACTTGCTGCACTGGTACTTACTTCATTGGTACTTGCTGCATTGGTACTTGCTGCATTTCGGCTGATCAGCAAATAAGGCGCTTTATTATTAGGGAGGCGAGAATTATGGAATAATAATAGTAAGGCACAAAGTATGCCAATAGTTTTATTTGTAATTTTCTCTTTTTCTAAATAAATGTTCTTAATGCATTTTTATGTTAACAATTTAGCACCATAGCACCATATGGATTTTTTTTTACAAAAATTTATTTATAAAATTTAAAAATACTTTACAATTCTAAAAAAAATAACCGAAACTGTGAAGGAGGCAAATGAAAAATTTAAATTTTGTCTTTCTCAATAAAATGAGAAGTAAAAATTTCGGAAATGAATTTCGGCAAAAATATTTCATTTTCATTTCATTTACTACTAATATTTAATAAATTTTCTTAGAATTTATTTTTTATTTGAATAAGTTTTTTATTTTATTTATAAATATTATTTACAAGAAAAATTCAAAATTTTTCAATAATTTTTTCTTATTAATGAAATTTTTAAAGGAAATTTTAAATTTTAAATTTTTAAATTCAAAGGAAATATTTAAATAAACTTTTTTTTTGCAAATTTTATTTATTTACAAAAGAAAAATTAATATAAAATTTAAATATTTAAATAAAAGGTAAAAGGTAAAAGGTAAAAGGTAAAAGATAAAATAAAAGATCTTAAAAAATGAGTCTTAAAATCTGAATTTTGTTTAAATTAAAATTTTATGTATTTTTTATTGAAATTATTAAAATCGAATCAATCGAAATGTTTAAAATATTTTTTTACATAACTAAAATGATTTAAATGTTTCGAATAAAAAATAATTTTGCTTTAATTTCTCTCTATTTTTTTTTTTACAATCGTTGAGTTATTTAAATATTTTATTGGCTTCATTTTTCATTGTCTCATCGCAAAGAGATATTTTATTTATTTTTATTTTTAAATATTTAAAAAATTTCGAATAATTTGAAAAATTCTGATAGTGCATTTCTATATCGCAAAATCACTAAACGTTTACTTTATTTATTTTTATATTTAATTTAATTTAATTTATTCGGTTAAATTAGGATTGCATTCAAAATAGTCAATAAAATTGAAATTCATTTTTGATTCTTCCAAAATTAATTTTTAGCAAATTTCAATATAATTTTGATATTTAAAAATGATATTAAATTTTCAAAATTGCACAATGATTTGTTGCTTTATTCATTTCGAAATGCCCAATGTTTTTTGGGTTTCTTCTATTCCCAGCGGCGAAATAAATCTCTTAGAAAGATCGAGCTAGTGCTGGCGATTTAGTTGTGTTGCAAGCTAATTAATTCTCTGATAAAATTTGCCTCGTCTGATAGGAAAAAAAAAAACAAAGCAAACTTTGCCAGAAGTTGTGGGCGCTCTTCAGGAAAAGATTATAAAGTCACTCAAAAGAAACAATCAATCGATTCATTGCCTAGTGGATAAATGAATAAATAAAAATATAAATGAAAATAAATGAAAATTTAATAAATGAAAATAGAAATATAAATAAAAATGTGAATATACTGGAAATAAATCTTATTTATTATAATTAATGATAATAAAATAATAATAATAAAAACATATCTTATTTATAATAATAATAACAAAATAATATTAGTAAAAAAATAAAAATAGTCAATAATAATATTAATAGAAATAATATTAATGATAATAATTAATAATAATATTAATAATTATAAAAAATTGATGCATAAATAAAAATTTGCGAGAATGCATCGAATAAAAATTATAAAAGATCAATTGTTATAAAAATTTATAAATTTATTTATAATAAATAAAAATATAAATTTATCCGGAAAATTTTCAAAAAAAATGCAAAACTATAAGAAAATTCTTTAAATGAAACAGGAATATAATTCAAATTTCATGCAATTTTATGTCTTTTACAATATTTTTAATCTATAAAAGTTTCTTCTTTAAAAAAGATAGATAATTTTAATAGATTTAAAATATTTAAATATTAAATATTGTTGTAATTCCTCTGAGACGTAGAATAGCTCAGTTACTTAATTCGGAGAGCCGATGCTGAGGTGCTATTCCTTGCAGGAGTAAACCTGTCCAAAAATCTGGATGGTGCTGGCGGCTGCTATCGCCAAGCGACTCACTCGCATATTTGCCTAGTAAGCGCAATAAGCCAGCGAAACGACTCTAACCAGTAATGGCTCTTAAAAAAAAAACCATTCATTCCTTTAAAAATTCATTTCTTTAAAATTGATTCATTTTTCTATTTATAAACAATAATAATAAATTTAGTGAAAAAAAAAATAATAATAACAATAAATATTTATTTGACTAAAATATAAAAATAAAATACATACACCTTTATACACTAATTTAAGCAATAAGATACATGTAAATTTATTATTCATTAAGGAATCACAAGTGATATATAACTTCGATGTGGAACTATGGTACCATAATATTTTAAAAGGAAATTACGAACTCGCTTTCGACTAAACTGACCACCTGAATAACAAAGAGGGCAAATGAATGATGGGGGAAATTGGCGTTTCTCAAATTGTGGATCTTCTGTTGAATCGCCATGTAATCGACGATTTACTATATTATGAGCTCGCCATAAATAAAAAACCATATCTTTACTTCGGCGGACCTGAAATTTTTTCATTTCCATAGTAATTTATCGTTTATGATTTATATTATTCGATTATTCATTTATTCTAATAATTATTTGTTTAAAAAAAAATTAATGATAATGATAATTTTTATCATTAAAATATCAAATATAAGGTAAAAGGTCGATAAAAATGGAAAAAATTGATAAATATGAAAAATGATAAAATAGATAATTGTGAAAAATAAAAAAATTATTCAATCGATTTATGTGATATAAGCGATAATTTTAAGAGGAATAATTTGTCTTCTTCAATAAATAATATCGTCGAAAATAAAGATAAAATAAAGATTTAAAGATTTTAGATCGATTTTTTAGTTAAATATTTAAATATTCTATTTAAAAGGAATTTCAGAAAAAAATTCAATCAGTTGTGAGAAAAATGAAAATTTGGAATGAGTTTTTCGATAAAATATTCATTCAATTCACTCTACACACTATTAATATTAATATTTAAAAATAATAGGGAAAAATGGAATTAATTCACTTTTAATGAAATAATATAAAGCATAATAAAATAATAATTCACTTTTAATGAAATAATATAAAGCATAATAAAATAAAATTAATAATGAAAATAACATTAATAATATAAAACATAATAAAATTAATAATAAAATTTAAAATAATAAAATAATAATAAAATTTTTTGTTGGTCTTATATGATTTTTTTTTTTGTAAATAAAAAATAATAATAAATAATATAATAAAAATAATAAATAAAAATAATGAATATATGAGATTTACCCTTTGTGAATTCATCGGAAACAGATTCGTTGTCATATGAATGAAATGCCTTCTACAGTGAAGGCATCCAAAATAACTGCTAACCCATCCTTTAATGCTAAGCAATGGCTTTAATGGATCCATAGGTTGAGCGATTGTATTCATATATGCATGTACCGTAATTGCATGAAATGTTGTCCAAAGTCCACAGGTGTATCCACGAAATTCCGGTGAACTGCCCTTGCAGTGCTGCCATGAAGCATTCACTGGAAATGGATTCCCATATAAACTCTGAAAATATTTAATTCAATATATTTTATTTCCTTTGTAAATACTATTCATTAGTTCTGTAAAATTTTTTGAACGAGAAAATCATTCTTTTTTGCTCATTTTTTACCAAATAGGTTCAAAACAAAATGATAGAAAAAAAAAACAAAATTTGCATACCTCAAAACTCAAGAAATAATGTATCCAATCATTTACAGCAATTTTTTGTTCTTTACTACGAATCGACAATTCATCACGCAAATGCTTGAAAATTTGTTGAGCTTCGCTACTTTTTTTTAAAACCTACAACATTTCGATAATCATCAAGGAAATTTGCAATAAAAGAGCTGCCGAAAAGGATCGATAGAAAGGATTGATAAGAAAATTTGATAAGAAGAATTAAAAGAAAGAAAGAAGATAATCGAAAAGGATAACCAAATGGTATGTTGTTTTGGTCAAACCTGTCATAGGCTCGATTCCCACTGCCTTTTAGCCTGACTAGTAAACCTCTCTCTGAGGGAAAATTTGATTGGAGGGGCACTTATCTGCGCTTCTATCTCCAAGTGATCTTATCAAGTGTTCTTTAAAGGATTTTAAAGATTTCAAAGATTCAAAGGAACAATAAAGCTAGCCAATATCAAAAATAATACAAAATATACCGATTTATAATTGTGTCCTAGTTTAGTGGCAAATGTAGTCACTGGAAAGTGCTAAAAATTTACACCATTAATACCATTTTAAATAATTAATGAATAAAATTAAATAATTTTGAATAAATTAAATTGGAATTTAAATTAGTTTTCGATTAGTTATAATTCAATTTTAAAGAAAATTAATTAATTTTAAAAAAATTAGCTTTTCATTTGAATTAATAAAAATTAATTCGTTAATTATTTTAGAAAAAATTAAAAAAATTTATTTAGTTTTATATACGATAATTAATACTAACGGTAGCAAGAAGATCAATAAAATTATAAAGTGCTATAAAATCATCGCCTTGAATTTTATCACCAATTTTAATAACTTCATCATAAATCGCCATTCGCATTGCTTTTAACATATCCGTTTCTGATACGTAATATAATGCACGGCATCTAATTTATTTATTCTCCTTTATTATTTTTATTTCATTGTTATTTTATTTTTAAACCAAATTTCTTAAAATAATAAATCATTGAAAAAGAATAGAATGGCTTAGTGGGTTGTTGCTAAATTCGGAGCGCTGATGCTGAGGTTCGATTCTCCGCAGGAGTAAACCTGTACAATCGTCGAGGAACTCTCTGCCATATTCGTCCAGTGCGACAAGCCAGTAGAGCGAATTTTACCAGTAATGGTGGAGACTCTTTTAAAAAACGGATAAAATAAAATTTAAATGGTATTGTTTTAATTCAAAATAGCTTAATAAAATTTGCAGTTTTTTTCGATTGCCAAATTTTTATATTTTAATGGTGCTTACTGGCAATGATACGAATGGGCAATTGCAAAAGAGTACAACGAGGATTGATGCAATTTTAAGGGAATATAATGGTTCCGAGACGCGTCAATCAATAATAATTGAATATGGTTAGCATTCCCTCCTTCCTCCAAGCCCCGCTCACCCTCCCCAATCCCCTTCCCAACCCCTATTTAAGATATTTGTTATTTCTTTCAAAATAAAGCTTTCAACTCATTATTCTCATTTGTAGCCAAGATCATTTAGAGTTTTTTTTTTCAAACTAAAATAAATTTTTATAAATTTATTTTATTAAAAAATTAATTTAAAAATTTATAATTTATTTCATTAAAATTATATTTTAAAATTATAAAATTATATTAAAATTACAAAATTAAAAATTTATAAAATTATATTAAAATTATATTTTATGAAATTTTATAAAATAAAATTATATTTGTTAATGGGAATTAATCAAATCAAATAAATAATTATGAGATTGACTGCAATTAAATCGATGAATTCCAAGATCGTATAACATTAATAACAATAAAACTGGGGGAACTAAATTCGGTCTGAAAAGTCAATCCGTCTTTAAAATTTGCCTTTTCAAGTGATTCGCTGGCATAATTCTCATCCTTACTAATAGGCAATTGGAAGATCACGCAAAATTGGCGAACATTTATTTCTTAAATTTTTATTGAATTTTTATTTTCAATTTTAATTTTTAATTTGAATTAATAAAATAAATGAATTGAGAGATTCTCAAGAAAGAATATTGTAATATTTTAATAATTTTTCATTTCATGGATTTTATCATCGAAATCATATTTGACGATTGAAATTTACGCATGAAAATTCCTTTCAATAAATCAATTATTTATGAAATTTCTAAAAATTTATACCTATCAGGAAATAAATCGCAATTTATTATCATTTTTGTGGTTGTTTCAATCGGAAATGGTGTTGTAAAAATCGTAAATGAATAATGTTCATCACCAATTATCTTTTGAATTTGTTCCACTGAATTATTGCTATATCTATAATGATAATGGTAATGATAAATGAATTATTACTATATTTATTTATAATAATAATGATAATGATAATATGGCAATAAACGAATATGATAAGACTTAAATATTTGGTAAAAATTAGGTAATTATAGAGAAATTTTTGTTGAATTTAAATTAAATTAAATTTATCTCAAGATAATCCAAGAAGATGAATCAGTGCCATTAAACAAAAAAAATGCTACAAAAATTTCATTTTTTTAAGATATGATTTTTATCTTATCAACTTATTTGCATCCAATTTATTTTTATTTCAGTTATTGTTATTCTCTAATAAACTGAAGATAGATTTAGGTGAAAATTAGTAAAAATGAACAGCGTTTCTTTTCAGAGAAATGAAAAATATGAAAAATGATAAAAAAAAAAATGAAAAAAGCATCCATAGTAATACGTACATACTTATAAAAATGGGTCGAGATTGATTTCGTTGAAAAAGTACAACCGATGGAAAATTGCCTATTTGTAGATTTGGTGGAACAGAATTTGATGATGCACGTCTTGCTGTAACTTTATCTCGCAAGAAATTTAAATCCAAGAGGAATTGTGCACCAACTGCATCGAATTTTTCAAAAATTATTGCAAGATATATAATTGATGGTTTCACATATTTCCACATTTCCTCAGTTAGATGAACTCTAAAATATTATCAACAAACATTTAGTAATAATTTCAGCATTAAAATTTGTGGAAAAATCTGAGAAGTTTAAATCCCCTATTGGGTGGGTGATACGTGAGTTATCCTCAACTAGAATCATCTGACAGGGATCGAAGAGTTCTACGCAATATCTTTTTAATGCTCTTTTTTAGGGTGCTGTACTAAAATCTGTTGGAACCACTTTTCCAGCTCGAGAATCACGATTCTTATTGCTCCCATCAACACTGAAATTATTTTGGCCTTCATTTTCAACATCTTCTCTAGTTCCTCTTTCAATTTCTAATATATATGTATACTTTCTTATTTTCTGATTGTTCAACAAATATTCTCGTTTAGTTAATTTAATTTATATTTTCATCACAATGGATTTCAAAATGAGAATTTTATTTTGACTTAAAGATGGTTCGGCAATGTTCTTTGGCGTCTATCGCAGGAATACGTGTATATCTTGCTTCTTCGGTTTTATATCGCCAAAAAACATAGAAGAATAATCAAGACTGAAGAGAATTTTAAAAAAAAAGTGGCCTAGCGGGAATGGTTGAAATGGAAGGAGTCGTTTTCAGATATGGTATCGGGTCGAAAAGCCTGGAATCGCCTTACGACTGCAGCCTATGGATTTAACCTAACAATAACATGTGAAAAGACGAAGAGCATACATCTAAGAGTATATTACCTTTGATTGTTCAACAAATTAACCCTGCATTAATTTTCATGAACAAAAAATTATTTACGACAATTTATACCCATTAAGATGCAATGGTACGAAATTTGGCCAATCCGGATATTGATAATTGCTATATTCATTCAGAATTGTATGGGCGACTTGACCTCGTAATTCAGCGAGTGAATGTGATGCTCGTAATACAACTGCGTCATTAGCGCTACGTGCATTTCGCAGAAAATACTGAAATTTTTATACTTTCAGTGAAAAAATATTGAAGCATTTTCTATATTTCACTTTTTCATGATAATTTATTTGTTGTCAAACGATGTATTGCAAAAGGCTATTATATGGGGAAAATCGAAAAATAGGATTAGCAATTCTAGCAGTTTACCTTGTACAAAATAATCTGATAAAATATTATCAATGATCAAAAAGGATTAATTAATGATAATGATAATTTAATAAAAATAATTTTCATGAACTGAGAGTGGTACATCGATTGTTTAATGCAAGTAAGATAACGAATCAACAAAACAAGAATTCGAATATTAAAGATGGCTATAAAAGAAAAGAAAAGATGGATAAGAGGCAACGAAATAAAGCTTCTGATATCTTTGATATCATTCCACGAAAGAGATAAAAGCTCGTCGTAGAATTTTCCAATACTATTACTAGAATGAATGAAAAAGATAAGGAACTGTAATATACTGAAATTAAACTGAAATATTTAAAAATACTGGCCAAATGTGTATTCCTTTGGTTATCATCGTATAATGGCTTATCCTTAACTATTATACTCGAAATAAAGATCAACCTGTGAAAGTAAATTTTTCATTAAAAAATCCGGTTGGCTAATGACAATTCACCTATACTTCCATCCTCAAAATGAATTTCTGGAGAAAATATTTGATTTTATTAATAGTGAGAAGAGCAAGTGTGAATGTTAATCACGAGAAATACCAAAAATATTTACCTATTTTCTCCAAATAGTAGTTTTAGCACAAAAGTTCTCTTAATAAAAAACAAATTTTTCGTCCAAAAAAATAAAACATTTTTCAACAAAATTTTTTTAAAATTATAGACATAATTAAAATATGAATCCGATTTTATGTAATAGAATGAAATTCAAATTCAATTTATTTATTATAACATAAAAATTTTCTAAATTATTTATCAATGAAATTATCAAGAAAATATCAAAATTCGATACCTTTATCATAGGATATCCATGGACTTCATTTTCTTTACAAACCATTTGATTGAATTCATCGGCGCAATTTATTGCGGCCACATACACCACATCTTTCCACTGTTGAATATTATATGCAAAACTACGGAAAAATGGTGCAAATGCACGACAATGACCGCACCTTGAATAAAAATTTTGCATGTGAATGTTAATCACAAGAAATACCAAAAATATTTACCTATTAATTGCATAATTCTTTTTTTCAATTTCATTTTTTTTAAAAACAATAATTTTTTTTCAGATATTTTTAAATATTATCTGAAATTAATATTATAATTATTTTTAAATTTGATATTTAATCAAACGAGATATATTTAAATATCAAATGATGATTAAATGATTATTTTTGATATTGATAAAATAAATTTTTAGTACAAATCCACCAAATCATCAATGAGAAATGTATGAATAATATATGAAATATATAAAATATTTCAACTATTTGCAAAAAAAAAAAGCAATCAATGCATAATCAACCAATAATTCTATAGAATAACTGCATAATTATAATTATTTAATAAGTAATAATTTTTCGAATTTATAGAAAATAGTATTTCCGCAATTTTTCCACTAATTTAAAATAAAAATTTTCCTCAAAAATTTTTATTTTTGATTTTTGTTGCGTAAAACAAAGAAAAATGCCAAGAATGCAGTGGGTGAATGAAAAAATTATTCGTAAAATTTTTTAAATAAACAAATTTAAAATTTAATGAATTTAAAAAAAAATGAACAAATCGATTTATTAATTAATTTTATAAATTTAAATTTAATTAAAATTTTAATTAATTCAAATTGATTTTGATTTGACTTGCTTTTACTTTTATGTAATATTTTGAACACTTTCATTTTTAAAAAATTCATATAACCTTTGACATTAGTGATTTCAGTGATATTATTTGATTTAAAATTGTTCATATTTATTCCAATTCAACATTGAAAAATTAATTGGATTATTTTTATTTTTATTTTTTATTATTTTAAAACAATGGATAATTTTATTATTTATGATATTTTAGATGAAGGAATTCACAAAAATAAATTTTTTTGTGCCTTTAATTTAAATATTCAAAAATTTAGAAATTTATTTAACTCCTTAGCGTCATTTTTTTTCGGGATTAAATAAATAATTTGAGAATTTGAGCAATAAAATTTGAATTTATTAGAAAAGCCAATAAATTTTTGATTCAAAAATTACATATAAATTTACATTTTTTTTTTTTATTTCCTCTTTCTTTAAAAGGAAAATATTTTTGAAAATTTTTAATTTCAGAGAATTTATAAAATTATGGGTTAAAATTACGACATTCCTCAATTCTCATGTACATGAGCCGAAAAATCGACTGTTTATAATGGCTAGGATAACCAATACGAAATTTTTCGCAAATTCTCTTAGTTACTATTTACTTGGATATTCAAGAAGTACAATTAGCCATATGCTTATGCTTATAATAATAAAAATAATATAATAATAAGAATAATAATAATAAAAGTAATAGTAATAATAATATAATAATATCAATACGATTAGTACAAATAAAAAAGATAAAATTAGAGAAAAAAAAACTAAAAACTATTACACTATCACACTATTTAGTAAAAATAGATTTGCTATTTGTGCGAAATGATAATCACGGATAATTCTATTTACACAAATATATGTATGTGCAAATATGTTTTGTGATGATTATAGAACTATTCGTGACAATGCGAATTTTTCACTATTTTCCTAATAAAAAAAAAAAAAAAAGAGAAAATTTAGTAAAAGAAAATTTTTCTTCTTCTAACATTCACCATTCAACATTTGTCCATTAGTGGTTAGGCCGACTCCGCTGGCTATAGTTTGTGAGATGTTTGCAAGCAGCTCGATCCGATAATAGCAATAGAAGAGAGAACAAATTAACTCAAAGAAATTAAATAAAAGAAAATCTAACCAGTCAGCATAAAATTCAACAACGAATGCATGATTTTGCTGGAAAATCGTATCATTGAACGTATATTGATCGAGGTGAATTATTGGATCTTGGCCAGGTGTGTATAAAAGAGGATTATAACCCATCGGATGATAAGTGAAATTCGATTTAAATGCTTCATTTGATTTCGCCAATAATATAACGAAAAAAATGAAAATTTCGAAGGAATTCATTTTGCTAAAAAAATAAATTTTTTAAATTTTAAATTTTAATATATATAATAATTTTAAAAATAAATTTAATTAATAAATTAAACGCAAAATTTAATAAAATTTCGAAGAAACTGGCATATTTCATTTCGTAATTTTTAAATTTTTCAAATTTTATTTCGAAATGAAAATAAAATTTTTAACGAATTTTAAACTTTTAGGTGTTTTCTTAATATTTGTTAATAATCATTTTCCTCGGGTATTTTTTTATTTTTAAAAAAAAAGAAAAAGAAAACAAATGATTCAAGTCAACCATTGTATTTGAAATTGGTACGAATCTTATTTATTATTCAGAACGGGTTTTTCTCGACAAATAGAATTTTTCGATTCTCCCACCTATGTTCTCTTATCTTTTAATTTTTTTCCTCTTTTCTTGAAAAATATTTTTCGGTTTTTTCTTCTCCCTTTTCCTTCACTTCCTCCTTCTCCTCCTCCTTTTTCTCTGAATTTTTGATTAATCCCTGTCCTATATTAATTTCATAAATTCATTTATTTTTCATAAAATTTGATTAAATGTTTAGCGACAAATGGCGAATATATTCTTTAAAAATAAATGAATTCATAATGTTTCATAGTTTTAAGAATTAAAATATTTTAAATCCTTTGGAAAAAAATGTTCTGTAAAATAAAATATTATTATATTTAATTAAAATTTCCATTAAATAAAAAATAAAAAATTGATAAATATAATTAAAATAATTTGTAAAGAATGACAAATGATGCTATGGAAAATATGGAAAAAAAATTCAGAAAAACATAGAGAAATTTCGGGCGAAAAAAAGTTGAAATTATTAGTAAAAATTTGGAAAAAAACTGAATTATTTTTTTCGATATTTTATTAATTCGTAATTTCCATAAATGAATTTATCTATATCGATGCAAAATATCTTTTATTTTACTAAAGAATTATTTCATATAATATCTCAAGAACTAATCGTCTATTATTTATTTATTATATTATTAATATAAATATTTGTATAAAATTAATATAAAAAAAATGAAAATGGAATTTTTTTTGTTGGAACACTGTAATATAAAAATACAAATATGCATTGCAAAATGAAAATAAGCGATTAGCGCTTACGATTTCTGGTAAGGTTCGTTTCGCTAATGAGAAATTTTTGGCAGTCCGAGTTTTTTCTAAAAGCAAATTTGTTTTTTATGCTAGAGGGAAGATCGATAAGCTGATTCAAAGGACGATAATCTGAACAAGAATCAGTCGATTGTACTTTCTCCAATCAGAAAAAAATTGAAAGGCAATTATGGTATATGATAAGTAAGTTTAATTTTGATAGCGCTTTACTTATCATTTTAATATCATTTTAAATTCAATAAATTCCGAATTATTGAAATATATTATTGAAAACGGATTAGAAAATATATGAATCGATTCGAAAATCAGTCAAAGTAAGTTTTTATTAAAACTCGTTTTTCGAATTATTCGAATTATCAATTCTTTGAATGATTACTTATAAAAATTTATAGAAAAAAAAAGCTTAAAATAATCGTTACTAAAATAATTAAATAAGAATTAAAAGATTAAAAGGAAAATAAATTCATTTATGAAAATCCATTTTTTACGTATATTGATTACATTGATTTTAGGCCGTTATCATTATCACTATTATTCATTTATATATTTTATCTGTTTATTGTTATTGAAAATTTTCCATCGACTCTTTCGTTGATTTATTTTAATTCTGAAGTTAATAGAGTTAATAAAAATTAATGGATTTTTTTTTATCTTTGTTAGTGCTTCTATTAAAATTTGGCGAAATCACTGCAGAAATTTTCGTTGATAATAGTAATATATCAATTTAGTTATTTACAATTAACCAGTTAACCAGATAACCAATTAACCAGCAGAGTAATTCATTGCGATTTGTATTCAATCATTTGGTTCTCTCTACAGTTATAACATCTCATTATCACTACAGTTATAACATCCCATTATCACTACAGTTGTAACATCTCGTTATCACTACAGTTACAACATCTCATTATCACTACAGTTATAACATCTCGTTATCACTACAGTTCTAACAAAAATAATTAACAATAAGTAACCATTTAATTAATGTTTATTTGATAATGAAATAATTTCGACGAAAATAGAGAAAAGAATTTTTTTCGATTCATTTAGAACGTATGGAAATGTAATAAAATGACCGAAATCAAATCAAACTCCGTTTTTTTTTTTTTTTTTTAAATCGAATTCTACAAAATTTTCTCAATAAATTCTCCTAAATTAAGAAGTTGTAAAATTCTAGAATTCTCGCTCGTTAAATACATTTTATCGAAATGTTTTGCCTACAAGAAAGTGGTGAAAAATATAGGTCCCATGATAAACGAAATAAATTTTTGGTTGCTCAGTATCCAGCGTTTCTCCATATTCTCATCACAGTGGCTATTAATAGGATGGAATAGTTTTGCCATGGAGCACTTGAGAAAAAGAACTACAGATGGATTCTTAGTATGTGATGAATTGATAACAGAGATATACCAAGGGAAGGCGTCGAACCATCTATACATAAAGTGATAATCTAAGAACATATTCGATTATATTTATTTATTTTTATTTTATACAACGTCAAAAATTAAAAAAAAACTGACGAAAATTTAGATTAATCTATTTCACATTGGAAACCAATTAATCTATGAGCTACTATCAACTATCAATTAATAAAATAAAATAAAATACAGGATGAAAATATCGAAATAATCATGATGTTTATGCTAGATTTTATAAAATCATAGAACTTAAATATCGTTATATTAAAATTTGAGCCAAGTATGATTGCTTCAACCTTGTGTTAAAGTTCCATTCATGACAGGAATAAACCTTGTATTAAAAGAATCTGCTGATATTGCCGATAACTAGGCATCATTTTTCTTACCTAGTGACTCTCTGCTAAAATTTCTAACACTAATGGCAATCGTTTATTAAAATTTGAAATTAAAATTTATTTTACCGACTGCTTTACTTTCTTAACGATTAGCAATAAATTTATACAAATTTTTTTATTGAATTAGAGTTTGAAGAATATTATTAAATTATTTTAAAAATTACTTAATTTATTTTAGCTAAAAAATTTTCTGAAAAGGTATAAATGAGGTAAAAATGAGGTAAAAATAAAAGCAAAAAATATAAAATAAAATAAATTAAATGGTCGTAACGAGTTGAGAAATTCTATTATAATCCATAAATATTCAAAATGGTCGAATTTTTTTTTTTAATTTTCATGATTAATAAATTGGTGGAAATATAAAATATAGAAAATATGAAAATCTTTCAACCGAAAAAAAAAACATTTGAAAATCCAATAATGCAAAAAAAAAGAATTTATCTTTGAAAATTGATCAAGATTAAATAGATATTCGAAGGATTAAATCGTACTGAATGGCAAATATCAAAATATTTATCGAAATTTAAAGAAGAAATTTTATGGATCATAGATTATCAGTATGACGAACGAACGAATAATCATATCAAATCTTCCTTTTTTTTATCATAATTAACTTCGAACTATCACTTATATTTTTTGTTACAATATATTTATCAATGAACCCAATCATTCACTAAACTATAAAATTTTTGGCCTAAAATATTTAATCCCTTTTTCCTCTCCTTTTTATTTTCATTGTTAAGTTACAATTATTAATTTAAAAAGGGAATTAACGAAAATTCAACGGAAATTTTTCATTTTTCCTAAATAAATATTCGATTTAAAGAAATATTTAAATGAAAAAATGAATTATTAGAAATAATCATTATCATTTGAATAAAACCCGATAAATTTATCAACAAATAAAATATCCTAAAAGATTACTAAACTGAGTGGTACTTCGACTAATCACCATCCGCTTGATTCTATCGAAAATCTTATTATTAAAAATTGTTATTTGCGAGATATTAAAAGAAAGAAAATCCATTCGTACTTTTCATTTCCCAAGTGATTCTCTCTTCCAAATAGTGAATTTTTGTTATTAAAAAGAATGAATAAATAAAATATCAAAAAATTTTCATTTTCTTAGAAACGAGTCGTTGATTAATACGAAAAACTGATTAAACATAACATTATATATATATAATTGAAATATACATTATGCGAGGCGAACTCCCACTCTTTAAAGTCGGAATGTTTAGATAGTTTTTTATTTCGTGGTATTATTAAAACAAATAATAAAAACCGGAAATATAACGAAGACGGTAGAAAAAAGACGATTGAATGTATTCACATTAGATTTTAGTAATATATTATTTTACGAAATTCTAAAATTTTTATAAAATTTTTCATATATTTATCGAAAACTATATGAAAACTAATTAAAATATTTCATACGAATTATTCAATCCTTAAAATAATGGAAATTTGTTTGCAAATTTTTAAAAAAAAAAAAAAAAATTGCGATAACCAAATTGCGACACATAACGATGGCATTTTTCTAATAAATAATATTTGAAATATAATAAAATATTCTACCTAATAGGGAGTTAAGGAAAAGGAAAAGGAATGCACGTGGAGCTTTAAAGTGCAATACGGATTTCTTTAGGGCAATTTTATTTCTATCGGTGATAGAAATCGAATTCTGGTCGCTCAGTTGGAATAAAAAACTGGAAAATTTTCGTGAAGAATTTTTCCTTAAAACATGGAAACTATAATATAGAAGCTAAAAATGTACTTCTTCATGACTAGTATAATATAGTTTAATGATTAATAATTCTCATAAATCAAGTTTGATAATTCCAGTTCATTCTAAATCTTATTACAACCATAATTTAAACCAATATTTGTTATACGCTCTAATTAATAGAATTAGATAAAACTCAATAAGTGAAGACCAGAATCCTATTTAATTCTTTATTCTAGATTTATAATTTGTGGAGAATTTTATGGGTCACCCTCACTCCTATAGAGGGTTCTCTGTAGAGGCTCAAAAGATTGAGATAAAGCAGATAAGTT